AGCCCTAAACCCTAAACCCTAAACGCTAAACCCTAAACCCTAAACCCTAAACCCTAAACCCTGACACAAACCCAGGCCAAGGGACTTCGTCAAGCTGATGGTCAGCCCGGGGTGGCCTGAAAAGGCGGCCCTACACTCTGTTGCACCAGGGCTCTCTCACGTGCGTGACCCTTTTGCAACAGGCTTCTAAGGTTTCGCCAGCTTCTGAGGGTTTAGGGTTTAGGGTTTAGGGTTTAGGGTTTAGGGTTCTCAAGTGCGTGACCCTTTTTTGCACAGGCTTGTCTCAGCGCGCCTGGTCGAGCTCGTCGCTTGCGTGACCCTAAACCCTGAACCCTAAACCCCTTTGCAGCAGGCTTGCAGGTACTCGCCCGGGTAGTGCTCGACCCTAAACCCTAAAACCTAAAGACCCAAAGAGGAAACCCCTTTGACTTTTGGGAGAAGGTTTGGGGACCCTGAGGCATTTTTTTGTTTTGGGATATCCAGGCCCTCAAAACCCTGAAGCCCTGAAACCCCGAAGACGGAAAGCCCTTTAGTCCCGACCTGCTCGACATGTGATGCGTAGTTTTGGACTGGTAAGCCCTGAAATTGGGCTTCACGACCCCGGAGCTGAACCCTGACAAGCGCATGCTCAGCAAAAAACGTGACAAGCACTCTTTGAAGCGGCCCGACTCGGTGCCACATGAGTTTGAACGCAGCATGCAAACACAGGCGCCGCGAACGGGCTTGGCCTTTTCTCATCCCTGCACTGCTTGGCCCCATTTCCGGCTGCCAAGTGCTGCCCTGGTGCTGCCCTGGTATTTTCTGACACTTGCGATGTTCCCCCTTAGACTAACAGTCCTTCATAGGGATTCTCATAGGGGGTAGTAGAATCCCTATTCTGGACTGTTAGTATAGATTGTAAGTCCGGAGAGACCGTCATCTCGTGGCCGACCGCGGAGCGAGATGGCGACCCTGAAGCCCCTATACTCACCTACAGGCCCTCTAAGTGCTCTAAGCCTATGACTCAACTCCAAACCCTGCATATGCACTTTCACAGATGAGTACAACTTTAGGAAACATGCTAGGTTGTCCATGGGTAACGGTGAGCAGTGCTAAGGGAAGTGAAGCAGGGCGAGATTGGCCGGTGTTTCCTGGTAGACCCGGAAACAGGGGCTCAGTTTGGCAGCGAAGTCCAAACACCCCTCGTCTGATAAACATACCCTGGGCCTCTCAACACTACATCTTCACCACGACTCAACTCTGTACTCTCTCCACACCATGAACCCTGAAAGCTCAGAGTAGCAAGGCCCTGAACATCCCCTAAACCCTTGTTCATCTGAACCCTTAAGCCCGCAAACCCCTTTTGCCATGTGTGTGTGTGTGCTGTACACCTACCTCGGCACCTGCCAACCCTAAGCCCACCCCTCAATGCGACGAACCATCTCGCCCCCTGCCTCGTGTCGATGCCAGGCCCGGCGGCATGTTGTAAGGCAGCTCGTAGGCCCCGTTGAGTAGCAGCTCCTCTTTGGGCGTTGCATGGGCTTGGGGGAGCAAGGCACTTGGGTTGTTTGGGTTCAGGGTTTATGCGGGCAAAGGGCTCAGGTTGGGGGGGGGGGGGGGGGTCGTCTCCGAACAGACATCGAATGAAGAGTTCGTCTCCGGCGAGCTCCGACGCCTTACAGCAAAGCCCTATCCCGAAACCCATTCCCCAAGGATCCTCAACCATCTAAGAAAACCAGACACTCGCGTGTTCTCTCTCTCTCTCTCTCAGAAAAAAGGTGTGTCCTTGGAGATGACGGCGCAGAAGAAGAACCTAGTTTGCCATTCAGCCCGGCTCGGGGAGTACTTCTTCATGTCCAGAATCCTCTCAAGGCGCTGGTTCAAGGCTTGCTCGCCAGAAGACGGGAGTTCGAGGTTCGAAACCACACTGCAGGGTAAACACTTCAGGACGAACTTGCACTTGAAACACTAGTCAAGTAGGGTTTAGGGTTTAGGGTTTAGGGTTTAGGGTTTAGGGTTTAGGGTTTAGGGTTTAGGGTTTCGGGTTTCGGGCTCTGGGTTTAGACCGAGGCTTGGCGACTTTGGTCCAAGGGTGCATTTTCAGGGTCTGCGTAGGAGCCCAGCCCAATGTGTCTCGAACTGTTACCACTCACAAGAAGTCCTATAAACCCTTCTGCGGCAGGCTTTGCGTAGTCTCGCCTGGAGATGCTGAGCCGTTCCCAAACCCTATAAACTCAAACCCTAAACCCTAGACCCTATAAACCCTATAAACCCTAAACTCTCTGCTTGCAGCTGGTGGCTGGTTGAAGGTGTCGAGGTTCTGCAAGTGGCCGCCATGCAGCAAGACCAGCTGCACGCTGAAACTGAACCTGGGCCGTATTCTTCACCGGTGCTTCACTGCTTGGATACACGCATATGCCCCTGCCTATATTCCGTCCCCCAAAGAACCCTAAACCCTTATAGCAGTACTGTGCCTAAAATTGATTTCTCAACGAAGGTAGCCCAGCATCCATCCTATGACATGAGGACGTCGCTGGGGAGCTCGGAGGATGCTGTGGCTGACACAAGTAGCACCATCCCAAACATAAACAACGAAAAGCCTTGAGAGCCCATACATGCATGATTATTTATTTGTCTATGCATGATACATAATTTCACATTCTAGTAATGCGTGTACAAACTTCTATAGTCCTACACACACATACATGTAGTTTAGTTTTTGTGTATACATATATATATATATACACTTATATATGTATATGTATATATATATATATATATTATAATATTATATATACGAAACTTGAGATCCCACAGAGCCTAAACCCCAGACGGTCTTCAGAATTTAGACCCTGAAAACTCATGCCGCTTTCGACATGCAACCAAAACAGCTGCTCAAGAAACCGGAGGCCGAAGCAAAGGGAGAAATCTTGGGGGTTTCCGAAATTCGGGGTGCCTTCTTGATGTCCAAATTATAAGGAAATCTCGGAATCCTTTTTGGGGATCTATATTGGGGGGTCCCCTATGTTCGGATCACCTTGACAAAAGCTCACTGCACCTTGATCTTAGGCTCAGATGCACTTTAGAGAAACAGCAGGGAGGACCACAACAACATCAAATCCAAATCCCCCAAACCCTGAACCCTGAACCCTAAACCCTGAACCCTAAACCTAAACCCTAAACCCCAACTCAGGTTCCCATGCCGCGGGACTCCGACAAGGCCAGAATCTTCATCTGAGTCGGAACATGGAGGTCCACGTTGATGGCACCTGCGAATGTGGCTTTGTGATCTGTTTAGGGTTTCTGCAGCACCATCTCCGAAGAGCGAACATCGGGCGCCAGCGTGAGACATGGCACGGCACCGCAAGCCCAGGACACCCCCACATCAAACCCCCACAACCCCCAACCCCAGAACCCAAACCACGCAGCCCCCAACACAAACCCAACCCCACACACCAAGCACGGTTTAGGGTTCAGGGTTCAGGCTTTAGGGTTAGGGTGTAGGATGTAGGGTTTAGGGTTTATCACAATTTCCCGAGCTTGCAAGCGGAAGCGCAACAAACCCAACCTTCGCGCCCTCAACTTGACGGGAGCCATGAAAAAGAAACGCCGGCCCCGGGTGGGGTGCGGAACTCCGGACTTTCAATGTGAAGAAGGGTTAGAGGAACACCCAACATAAATAATCGAAAGAGCTCCTCATGCAGAAAGGCCAGGAAAGAATCATCTTCTAGGTTGCCTAGGACCAAAAAAAAGAGTGACCTTTTTGCTCAAAGGGGTCTATCAAGGAACCCAAGCCCCCGGAAAAATGGAAATAGGGGCACTACTGGGCATCCTAGTCCTAGTCTTCAAGGCCCTCAGAGCACCCTAAACCCTAAACCCTCAACCCTCAACCCTCAACCCTCAACCCTAAACCCTAAACCCTAAACCCTAAACCCTAAATTAGGCCCTAAACTCAATCCAAAACCCTATCCAGCTCAGCTGCGCTCGAAGAATGGAGGCAGCAAGTGTCCGATGAGGTCTCCGGCGGGCCTTTGCTGACTTTGGTGCGTTGCTGTGGGTTCTGGGTCGCAGGGTTCATGCAGTTCACCAGGTTACTGAGCCTTCATAAGGCCTGAGTCCCAGCACTCACCTCTACAGATGCCCACCTGGCGACACTTCAGGGTCTTCCATGCTTAAAGTGTTAAGGTTGCCCTAAACCTTTAGGGCTTAGGGTTTAGGGTTTAGGGTTTCGGGTTTAGGGTTTACGGTTAGGGGCAAACAAAGGGCTTCAGACTGCATCGCTACAGCCTGTCGTAGCACTCTGTACCAACCGCCCTAAACCCTAAACCCTAAACCCTAAACCCCTCGGCTGGTCATTTCGAACGAGAACTCGTCGCAACAACATATAAGCATCGGGCACAGATAAGGAGAGCTCCGGCCCAGTAACCATAGGGGTCTAAAAAGCCACGTAAACATAAGGATCTTAGAAACAGGTTTTTTTTTCGAAATCCCCCTTGTTGGGGCCCTTATACCCCAATAGTAGGATCCTTATGCTTAGGTGGCTTTTTGGGCCCCTAAACCACCACACCCCCAAGAAGTCATGAGACAGGGGATAGAAGGGGCCAAATGCCAGAGCACCAGGCTGACTATAGTAACCCACTAAGCCACAGCTCTCACTTATCTCATATCTACAGCTGCCCACAAGTTGCGCAGTGACAACTCGCTGACGCCACTCGTGAGACATGCCCAAGAGCTTCGCATGAGACATTACTACGGTGCTTGCACCTCAAGGTGACACAGGTTCTGCTCCCACCTACACAATTCTCTCATGACAAAAGGACTGACAAAGTAACCGACCCGAGACCCTAAACCGTGAACATACAGGGCCTACTGCGAGGGAGGCTAACATCCCCGCGTCACGTGCATCCAACCTTCTAGAACTCCCCCTGTCCAGCAAAGGCGTAGTCGCATCAAGGCAACAGTGTGTCTTCAAGCTCTCCATCTCTCTCCCCCCCCCCCCCAAAAAAAAAGCCCTGGAGATTCTACTGGGACGGCTCTTGAGCCGGCTCCTGCGCCGGCTCTTGCGCGGGCGCTTGCGCCAGCTGCAGGAAGAAGTCCGCGGCCAGCTTCAGCGCCGAGGCCTGGGACTCCTCCACGCCTGCCTTCTGCGGAAGCATCGGGTCGTCCGCGCCGCGGGTCATCCAACCATGTACCATGTTCCTATACTGAACTTGGAACCCTATAGCACAAACAAATCCATTTTTGCTGTTTCTTAGGAATTATAGTGTCCAAAAAGTAAAAAAAAACATTTCCAAGCATATCCCTAAGGTTCTCATAGGGAACTGACTTGCTCGCCGGGTGAGCTTCGGTGACGACCGACATGAAGCCACCGCCTGGCTTGACCTGTGCTGAACTTGGAACCCTAGCAAAATTAGGGTTTAGGATTTAGGGTTTCGGGTTTAATTATAATGTTAGCTGTTTCTTAGGAGTTGTAGTACCCAAAAACTTTAACATGATTCCCAAGTATCCCTAAGTTACATGCTTGTCATCATTGGAGGCTGGAATCATCAGCTGCGGGCAGCGGACTTCCTTGCCCAAGTCGACCTCATTTTGGCCATGGGGGCTGCACTGTAGTTTGCCGACCAGCAGGGAGGGGTGGAAGCCCACCGCGCCTTTGAAGACTCCAGTAGTACTGGTTTTCGCCACGACCCATCCTCCGAAGCAGAAGCCATAGCCAAACATAGGCACCTCCGCATGTAGAGCCTTCAAGGAGTCAGCGAGCTTCTGAATCTGGGGTCCAATGGTTCCCCAGCCATACCGATATCTGATGCGGTACGCCGCCTTCGGCATATGGAGTTTCAGCCGGAGACCTGCCCAGCTAGAGCTGACAGCAAAGTCGGGGCAAATTGGCTCACCATGGAAAAGGTCCGGCATGCACACGAGGCTGTTCGGCACGGCCTCGGCCATCTGATCGCAAATGCGCCGATGTCGCCCTGAGTAGTAGCCAAAGACGTCGGAGAATGCCAGGATGACCATGGACGGTTTCTCCCTCTGGCCACTGAAGTAGCCTTAGTAGCCCAGTGACCGTATCATAATAAGAGCACCCCTTTTTGGGTTGGTTACTTGCCCAAAAAAGGGAAAAGGGCACCACTGGGCCACTCAAGTAGCAGTCCAGATCCGCTTCCTTCTGTTCCCAACCTCGAAGCATCTCGGAGTCTGCGGGCAAGGGCCCATGAGAGCCAGATGGGCAACAAGGAGCTGCCATAACTACCAGCTGTCAATCAGGTGGTATCCGTAGGACTTCAAAAGAATCGATGTCGGAGCCTACTCTGGCTTGAGCCGCAGCAATTTTGGGGTTTCGGGTTTCCGGCTCCGGGGCTGAGAGCTTAGAGCCCAGCTGTTTCCCTACTTCTAGCAGTTGAGGAAGGTCTGACCTGCAACGAATCGGACGTTCAAAGAGTCTTTTTGTGAGTGGCGGGTAGTGGCTGCTAGAGTCACTGAAAGGTGAGGGCGTGCAAGGTTGGCTGCAGTTTTGACTGCATTCAAGTTGTGCTATGCCTGACTAAGGATCTCTCCATGTCAAAAATGTTGTTGACGTACATCAGACTTGCTTGAACTACGATTATAACTACCAGTTGCCCAAACACTGCACACAAAAGTCAACACGTTGTGTCGCGAGTTCTTGTCTGCCTCTAAAAATCAGGTCGAAGCATGGTGCCTCAACGATCAAGGTTTACTTGAAACATGACTGAGAGAGCATGGTATCACGGCTTAGGTTACCTTACCGCACAAGCCCTGAACCCGAACATTGAGGCAGGAGTCTTTGATCTCTTGGGGCAATCTCGTACGAGTCAAGATGCCTTCCCTGAGCCCTTCGGCCCCCTAAACCCTAAACCCTAAACCCCAAAACCTTAAACCCCTATAGACCTCAGCCTGACTCAACCCGAAAAATCCAAGCGGGCCCTGCCACACTGGACGTGACCCCCATCTTCCTCCCCAGATGGCCAAGCTGCAAAAGGTTTGTGTGGATGCCTTAGTTGCTGAGTTCCTAATATCCCCCAAGAAAGTGTACACTTTCAGTTCTGTAGGTGATTCTACTAGCCCCAAAAAAGTGTAAAGTGCACTCACTCAGCTACCAAGATGCTGATGTTGAAATGGCCAGCACCACCGGCGTTCACCTGGGTCTCAGGAGCTCGCAGACTGGAAGATGGAGAGCCAAACTGGAGTGTATCAGTGTCCAGGACGGCTTGGCATACTTGTGTGATACGTCGGGGTAGGGTTTAGGGTTTCGGCTCTCGCACTAACTCCGACGCAGACACCAAGGTGGTCGGTGAGATCCGGTCGAAAGCAAAGTCGAGGACAGCGATGTCCTCCGCACTTGGAACCACACAATATCGGGGTCGTAATGACCCCTATATATACCTTAAGTAGCCCCTAAACAACCCCCAAATAACCCCTAAGGTCCCTTGCAAGGGTCCCTCCTTTCGTCCCTGAACCCAAAGTACGCCCAAAGTCATATAGGAGCCTAGTTCATTAGAACTTATAGTGCAAATATAAAAGGGATCCCTATATTTAAGCCCTCAACCCACACAGTTCGACCTGGGAGGTTCGGTTCGCCTTGAATTGCGTGTTGGCCCCTGTTGTTTCGACAGGGCTTGCGGGTTTTTTTGGGCAAGTGGTCCCTAGCTGTAGGCAGATTTATCGAGCCCTGAGTTGCGCAACGAGTGGACCAATCCACCCAGAGACTGCAGGCAAAACATCTCGAGAGAGCTCCTGCTACGAAGCAGAGGAAGCATCCGGATTCTTGAAACATCCAGCCTTAAAGCAAACCACTGCCAAAGAAACCTGCACCATAATCTGAAGACGAAAGCTCCCAGCATCTCGTTCCTAATATTGCCCTAATCATTTTCCCTCAGTCAGAGTTACGGGTTTAGCAAAATAAGGGACCCCTACTATAGACCTCCAAATAATAGGATTCCCTTATCATCAGGACCCCAAAAGGTACCCCCCCCATTTCGGAAACCCCCACTTAGAGTTTACTTAAAACCTAAACCCTACACCCTAAGTTTTTGACATCGCGAGCAAGATGGCTCCAGCGGCTGGAGCTTGAAGCTGGTGAAGGGCCGTTCGTTCCAAGGCTTCAGATCCAGATCACCGTCGACGTCGGGGTCATAGCCGAAGAAGTTGACCTTCGTGATTCAGGGTTTAGGGCTAGGGTTTAGGGTTTAGGGTTTAGGGTTGAGGGTTGAGGGTTTAGGACACTGGATCTGAGATGTTACTTTGGAGACATGGAACTGTTTGGTATGTGCTTTTGGGAAAATCTCCGCACGACATCTCAACTGGAAAACCTCATCGGAGACCCGAGAACCAACCCGCCAAATCCTAAGCCATTAAATTCTGAGCCACTAAGCCGACTAAGCCTTTGTGCCTTTGTGATCCCCATACATACTTGGGCTTCAGGGCAGGCCTGTCGCTTGTGGCATCGATCCCCCCCCCCCCAACGCATCCCGCATGTTTCCACAAGGCCAGGCTTCAAGTGGGCAATACGCATCCTCAACACTTACAGGCCCTAAGCGATCGTTTGGGTGAACCTGCAAACCGCACTATCGCAGAGAGATGTCCGGAAGCAGGATCAGCATTAATTATTGGCCGTGTGCCCGCATAACAAGCCTTTGTAAAACCGAGTTATGGCTTACAGCACCGTTGCGTGATCGACTAGCAGATGTTGGCCAACTAACTTGCTGCCCGAGCGAGGCATGAACTATCATGAAACCATTCCCGACACTGCAGCCCCCCAACTCATGGAGGTCGGAACTGTCAGAGTTGCGCCAAGGGAAGGATGCAACTGTCTTAGGTTTGGTTAGTTGAAGGATCGTGCCCCCCCCCCCCCCCCCCCCCCCCCACAAAAAAAACTAAAAAACCCAACGGACCAGTTTAACCCCAAGAACCCTGAAACTCATGTCCGAGGTACAAGTTTCGAGTCTGGGAAGTTTTCGATTGGCTCGCCCAAGATGAAGGACTTCCTTGGGTCCACGGAAGGGGGCAGAGAGGGTAGGAAAATTCAAGTGTTTAGGGTTTAGGGCTTAGGGTTAAACAACTTGGGGGTTTCTGCTTTAGGGTCTTTCGAAAGCGACGAGAAGGACTGGCCTGTGCCCAGGTTGGACCCGGTCAGTGATGTGTCGCTCAGCCTGAACCCTGGTTGCTGAGTACCCCGTGCCACAGAAAAGGTTAACCTTTCAATTCTGGTAGGAACGTTTATATGCCCCAAAAGGTTGAAGGTTTCCTACTCAGCTACGAAGGAACCCTACTGAGACCCTGATGTCGAGCTGTGATGCACCTCGCGTAGATGATTCGGGGTTTGGGCCTCGGGTATCCAGTCAATCCAGTCTGAGCCCAGTCTCTTCAGAAGACCGGTTGTGTCGGCGGCGTAAATCTCCAAGTCTTCCGTGATGTTGCACAGTATCTGACAGCTATCGGACCAGGCGAAAAAACGGTGGACCCGCCTAGTTTGCAATCAGCCTATGGGTACCTGATACTTGTTACTTGGCCGCCAGAACGGAACATGAGCATGGGCATGGCATTGCTAGCACTAATTCCTGTTAACCGTGGTGCTCTCAAGGATTACGTTGGTCTTGCGCAAACTAAAGACAGATAGATATCCATTCGCGATCTGCGCTGCAGCTGCCCTATAAAGAACAAACAGAAGGCCGCAGAACAGTCCGAATGCAACCTCTGAACATTGTGAAACCATCCAGCAAACCTCCTTTGCTAAGCAACGATTGCGACGACTCATCGACAAGCCTTGATGTTGATATTCGTTTGCACAATCCCAGTGTAAACTCAGTAAACCCAATTGCTACATCCGCCTTGCTCTTCTGAAACAACTTTAATTATACCTGCTACATCTTCATGGATTCCTAACTGGCTTCATACCTGTCGGATCACAACGGCGAGTTGCATGGCTGTCAGGCCCTTGCCGAAAAACAACACCTAACGCCCAAAACGAAACGTCCGCCCTAGACGCTCTCTCCTGTTCGCGCCTCTTCCGGGGCGCACCTCGGACCAAAACGAGGGTTTGCAAGCCTATGGGATCTAGTGACAAGTGCATGGGTCGCCTCATCTGCCCTCACATGACCACCCCCACCTCAACCCACCCCAACCCCCTCCCACCCCCGTCCCACCCTCACCCCCGCCCCCCGGGAAGGGAGCCAGCCAAGAGAGAGGATACAGGATTGTTCTGGGATGTCTTCGGTGCACATGGTTCGGAAACTTACCCTGAATGCAAACGAAGCATCCACACATGTATATACGCGACTGGTGAGAGACAACGCTCCAGACTCGAAAGCCTCTCCTTCCCAAAAAGCAATGGAGGCCCTAACCCGAGGAGGGGGGGTGTTCGAACGGCCCTTAGCAACTGCTGAAGCCAAGCAACCAACCTAAGGAAATCCAGCCCAAACACGTCAACACTGTAAGGTTCCCACGTGTAGGGAGTGCTGGCTGGCATGCCCGAGCACGGCCTTGGCCAGTAGCCTTGATGTGCTGCGGAGGGCATCGACTTCGGCTTTGGAGGGGTGGCATGGGAGGTGTAGGGCTAGGCTTCGTTTCGGGGGCCTCTGCGCGGAGGTGAAGGGAAGGAAGGCGGTAGTGACGTGACACACACCACTAATGCGTGACAGAAAGTCGCACTCCAGCAAGCTTTCATACGTCCATCTTGTGGATGAGGAGTTAATAGGGGGACACGTCGCAGAAGGGCGACGCAGCAACGTACTGCAACGTTGCAAGCTGCCAAGCTGTCCAAGGATGCAACTAACCGTGCGTGTTCGCTCCTTCCCCAACACACGACATGGCTCTACACCCGCTTGAAAGCGAAATGAACTCAAGAAATTGTCGATATTCGGCATCATGTACCCTAAACTACTCAACCCTCTCCCATGGGTACAAGGACTCCATAAGCTCCGAGATCCCGACATCGGGATTGAGAGTTTAAGATTTCCAGGGTTTAGGGTTAGGCCTTAGGTTTTCGAGGCCTTCTTACTGTGAAACACTTCATCGTCGCTGACTTTGTCCACTGATGCAGCCGTGCAGCATTTGTTGATGTTCCTCAGTGTCTTCGGCACGTTGCCAAAGAGTCGCGCTCTCCCACGCCCACCCCCTGCCCGCCCCCACCCCACACGCACACACCAACACCCCAAACAAGGCTCGACTACAGTGCCACAGGTGCAATAGGAGCTCTCATATACAAACTGTCAAGAACGGCGCAGCCGT